CTAACCTCACCCTCACTATTTCTAACCTCACTCTCACTATCCCTAACCTCACCCTCACTATTTCCAACCTCACCCTCACCATCCCAACCCTCGTTATCCCAACCTTCGCTATCCCAACCCTCGCTATCCCAACCCTCACTATCCCAAACCTCTCCCTTACTCCTCCATTTTCTTTCCACACTCCCTCCTCTATCATCTCCCCCTGGCCTTTACCTCCCGTGTACCCGACTCCTCCACTCCCCCAAACACGGGGATAGGGAGGGGAATCCGTGAGGCCAAGTCAGTCAATGACTTGATGGGCTGAATGGCCTCCAATACTGTTCGTGTGGAAGAGAGAACAAAGGGGCAAGAAAGAAGGAGATAATGAGAGAGCAAGAGACAGAGACAGAGGAGAGAGAGGAAGTGACAGAGGGAGAGACAAAGGGAGAGACAGAGGGGGAGACAGAGGGAGAGACAGAGGGGGAGAGAGAGGGAGAGACAAAGGGAGAGACAGAGGGGGAGACAGAGGGAGAGACAGAGGGAGAGACAAAGGGAGAGACAGAGGGGGAGAGACAAAGGGAGAGACAGAGGGAGAGACAAAGGGAGAGAGAGGGAGAGACTGAGAGGGAGAGACAAGGGGAGAGACAGAGGGGGAGAGACCAAGGGGGAGAGAGAGGGAGAGACAGAGGGAGAGAGAGGGAGGAAGAGACACTGACAGTGAGAAAAAGAAGAACGAGGAATAGAGACAGACAGGTGAGAGAAACAGTACAGGAAGGATTCAAACTCAGACACTTAAACAAAACTCAGTCACCAGAAAGGACAGGGTGAGACAATCATTACAGATTTTATTGTCAACTCAGAAACAGCCCAGTCCCAAACTACATAGCAAGAGCCCGCAAAGAGCAATGAAGTCATGAACAAATCATTCACCAGTTGGTCACATTAGCCAAGTGATTAATATTATTGAGAAACAAGGCAGATCCCCCTCTTCCACACTTTCCCCTGCCAACACAGCCCACCAACACCCCCATAATACCTCAGCACTGACCCACCGACGATGCCCACTCCCTCATCACTGACTCACCGACAGTGCAGCGCTCCCTCAGCACTGACCCTCTGACAGTGCCCGCTCCCTCAGCACTGACCCTCCGACAGTGCGGCGTTCCCTCAGCACAGTGGAGTGAGGCTGGAACCTTTAATGTTGTGAGACTTGTTCCTGGAATCTGTGCCTGGTTCTGTGTACTGGCTCCTGCCCTCTCAGACACTGGTGGGCCTGGTCCTGGGCTGTATCTTACTGAATCGCATATTTCGACAAAGAGGATGGATCACCTCCTGATCCCGTTGCTCTGCTCTCTGTCTGAGGAGTCAGTGTCGGAATTCTCACTTCCCGTTACGTTATCCCAGTTCTCCTTTCTCTGGTGTCTCTCCTGTTTGTTCAGCCGAATAGCACGCTTCCTGCTCACAAACATTGGAAAGGAGACACAAAATAAACTCGATGCTGGATTTGATGAGGAACGTTTTTATTATCGTGTTTTAATCATTGCTCATCACCAATGGTCCATTGTGAGGCTGGAGAAATAGTGAGACTCAGAGAGAGAGACTGGCAGTGAGACAGATAGTGAGAGCCACAGAGAGACAGAGAAAGAGAAGCCAACAGATATGGACACCATAGAAATAGGAACAGAAGGAGGTCTCTCAGCATTGACCCTGACAAGCCCCTTAAGAATCCAATATGTTTCAATGAGATCACCTCTCACTCTTCTAAATCCCAGTGTGCCTGTGTGATCCCACTGGGTCCCACTGTCTGAGCCTTTGCTCATCAGACAGTCCCCACATACCAAAGGGACCTTCTTCGTGAACCTCATCTGAACTCCAATGAAATGATATCTTTCCTAAAGTGAGGGGACCAAACCTGTTCACAGTGCTCCAGATGTGGTCTCCTTGTACAGTGCATTGAGACTTCCCAACTCTTATACTTCAATCCCCTTGAAATAAGGGCCAACATTCCCTGACCCTTCCTGATTCCCTGCTGCCCCTGTGTGCTAGCTTTCTGTATTTCATGCACAAGTTCCCCCCAAGTCCTTTTGTGCTGCAGCTTCCTGCAGTTTCTCTCCATTTAAATCAGACTGTTATTTTGTTCTCCCTTCCGAACAACTTTTATTATACTCCATTTGCCAACATTTCCCCCACCTCTTTATCGAGTAAACCCACTCTTGTATTTGATTAGGCCTCTTGCTGATAATGTTATGTCTCACCAAGACATGAAGGCACAGATTGTGATAAAACTCCACAATGTGTTGAGAATTACTTTGAGCTGAGAACGATTAAAATTCTTCGATGAACATGATTTACTTGGAGAGTTTGGAATCTGGGGTATCTATTGGTCATTTCATTAATGGCCTCTACAGTGGTGGCTAAGCTTTTGGAGGGGATTCTGAGAGATAGGAATTACACACATTTGGAGAGACAAGGACAGATCAGGGACAGTCAGCATAGCTTTGTGCGTGGGAAATCGTGTCTCACAAACTCAATTGTGAGTTTTTTGAGGACATGACCTCAAAGATAGATGAGGACAGAGCAGTAAGATGTTGTTTATATGGACTTCAGTAAAGCCTTTGACAAGGTTCTGCATAGTAGATTAATTAGTAAAGTCAGATCACATGGGATTCAGGGAGAGTTACCAATTGGATACAAAATTGGTTTGATGGTTGGAGACAGAGGTGGGGTTTGATGGTGGGAGACAGAGGGGCAGTTTGATGGTGGGAGACAGAGGGGGGGTTTGATGGTGGGAGACAGAGGGGGGGTTTG